CTAAAATCAAGGTACACAACATCACAATCCTTACCACTATCAACTGCCTCAATTATGCTGGAATAAAAAGTTAGCAAATTTGTTAAACATGAACGGCCATTTGTAAAACCATGTTGCGACTCATTTATTAATTTATGTTTTTCAAGATGGAGACGAATTGTATTTGCAATTATTGATTCAAGTAACTTTCCCACAATAGACGTTAGGCTAATTGGCCGATAGTTTGAAGCAAGTGATCTATCTCCTTTCTTAAAAATTGGTACCACATTAGCTACCTTCCATGACTCTGGCACTCTGCCTGACTCTATTGATTTATTAAATATGGTAGACAGTGGCTCGGTCAGCTCCTCTTTGCATTCTTTAAGCACCCTAGCAAACACTTCATCCGGCCCTGGGGATTTGTTTGGTTTTAGTTTTTCTAATTGTTTAATTACATCCTCCCTGGTAACTGCTAAACTAGTCAACCTGTCCTCATCCCCACCCACATAGACTTGTTCGGCTGAAGGCATATTGTTAAGTTCTTCTTTAGTAAATACAGATATAAAATATTTGTTAAAAATACAACTCATCTCCTTGTCATTATCCGTTATTTGACCTGTCTCAGATTTTAATGGACCTATCCTTTCCCTAGTCTTAGTTCGATATAACTGAAAAAACCCTTTAGGATTTGACTTTGCTTGCTCTGCTATGCGAACTTCATAGTTTCTTTTTGCTTTCCTAATCTCTTTGTTACCATTTCTAACCAGTTGTATGAATTCCTGTTCTAAACTGACTTCCCCATTCTTAATCCTTTTGTACCAAGCTCTCTTTTTACCTATAAGGTTCTTTAAATTATTTGTTATCCACTTTGGGTCATTAGTATTCGATCTATTCAATTTGTATGGTATACTACGTTCCTGTGCTTTGTTTAGAATATTCTTAAATAAGTTATATATTAAATCCACATCCAAATCCCCTTTTACGTCACCTATCGCTGGGTTCATGTCTCGCTCTAAGACCGGCCCACACCCCATACCCAAGACTTTCCAATCTATTTGACCCAAAAAATTTCTTAGGCTATTAAAATCAGCTTTTCGAAAATCTGGCACTTTAACAGAATTTTTTCCTACAGGTCTATTCCATTCTATGCTAAATCTGATTACTTTGTGATCACTGTTCCCTAGCTCACTCCCTATTTCGATGTCATTAATTTGTGTTTCCCTGTTAGTTAACACTAAATCTAAAATATTATTTTCCCGCGTTGGTTCCTTAATGTGTTGCGTAAGAAAGCAATCGTCAATTAATTCTAGAAAATCTTCTGCTTCACTATTCCCTGTTTTGTTCACCCAGTTTATTCCACTAAGATTAAAGTCACCCATGACATAAATACTGTTAGATCTAGATGCTCTAGATATTTCATCCTATAGATGCTTTGCTTCCATTCTGTCTAAATTTGGTGGCCTATATACAACTCCTATTATAATATTATTTGCTTTTTCGTTTAATTCTATCCAAATAATTTCTGTGTGTGGCTCAGTTTTGATTCCCTCTTTGAGACTACATTTAAATTGTCCCTAACATATATGGCTACTCCCCCTCCTCGTCTAATATATCTATCTGTGTGAAAGAGTTTAAATCCATTTATCTGATATTCAGCTAATAGTTCTCTATTTTCTACATTCATCCACGTTTCGGTAAGTGCAATAATATCTATTTTTTCTGTGCAGACAAGAGCATTTAATTCATTATTTTTATTTCTTAGACTTCTACTGTTAGTGTAATATATCCTAAGTGAATACTGTTGCAAGAATACAATCATGTCATCAGACATATTCCAGGAAAATTAAATATAGTAGCAGATGCACTCTCTAGATTGCTAAACCTGGTGTGAATTAGGGTTGTACTACTGCACAGAAATGTATGTATATATTATTGTGTATCTATTGCTTATTATATATCTTTACTGTCTCTTTACAATTATTATGAAATCTCTTTGAGGGATTAATTTTATGTGAAAAAAATGTGAAATTCATTTATGAATTTCTCATTTTTTTTTCTCTGCGCTTTAGGAGGATGTTACGAACCTTACTGCCTGTGGAGGTTAGTTTTAATTATGCCCTAAACGCTTTGCGTAATAGTGGCTTTAGGCATTGTATGAACTAGCTCTACCTATAAGTCAACCAATCTTTGTAAAAATTTACTTTATGTATGTACCTTACCTAAATAAACATTTTATCTTTATTTTATTTTATTATAATATGTTGGTGCACACATTGGAGAATGTTTATTATAATACATCTACAGCTGACATCTGGGATGCCGGGAGTTACCAGTAATACTCCGCCCAGTAAAGTAGTACCTTCTCAGCTGGAGATTGTCAAGAATAATGTGAACTGGAATACCCTTATTATGTGAGGGAAAAATGGACTCAGTCAAAAAGCATGTATGGGGAAAATGGTAAATAAAGTCAAAAAGGGTTTGATTGCAAATGTAAAGAATAGAGTATTAAGGGGCGATGACGCAAGAGAGGTGAACGCATTTCTAACGTGAGGGGAGGTGGATACGTTGACGACCAGACCTTGTTATCTGGGGGGGGGGGGTGATTTTCTCCTGCCGTACAGTCAGATAAGCCATCATTACTTGTTATCAGTGTTGCAAGATATTGTAGAGTAGTTATGCAGACTTTGGAGATTTTTTATAAGAGAGTTCAGGTTTCCTGGAGGTATAAATCATATGTCATTGGTTGATAGCTGTGGTGGCTGTGTGCACGGTTCCAGGTTTGGGACGGTGGGCCTTAGGGTATCTAGCGCCCGCTAGGGACTTATATTAATTCTTAATGACCTTGTGTAGTAAGGAACAACATTTAATATATATGTAATATCGCTTGTCTTATACGTATAAATTGTTGTCTTTGTACTAGGATGGGTATGGGGTCCACTACAGTGCACGTAATGGGTATGGGGTGTACTACAGCGCACGTGATGGGTATGCGGTCCACTACAGCGCACGTGATGGGTAAGGGGTCAACTTCAGAGTACGGGATGGGTATGGGGTCCACTACAGTGCACGTAATGGGAATGCATGGGGTCCACTACAGTGCACGTGATGGGTATGGGGTCCACTACAGTGCACGTAATGGGAATGCATGGGGTCCACTACAGTGCACGTGATGGGTATGGGGTCCACTTCAGCACACGTGATGGGTATGGGGTCCACTTCAGCACACATGCTGGGTATGGGGTCCACTTCAGCACACATGATGGGTATGGGGTCCACTTCAACACACGTGATGGGTATGGGGTCCACTACAGCACACGTGATGGTTATGGGGTCCCCTACACACAGCCAACCACAGCTTGGTTGATAGCTGTGGTGGCTGTGTGCACGGTTCCAGGTTTGGGATGGTGTGCCTTAGGGTATCTAGCACCCGCTAGGGACTTATATTAATTCGTAATGACCTTGTGTAGTAAGGAACAACATTTAATATATATGTAATATCGTTTGTCTTATACATATAAATTTTTGTCTTTGTACTAGGCTGTTTTCCTTACTCCTTGATTTCCCCCTAGGCTCAAGTAAAATCATTATTCCTCCTAGACATCATTTAAAGCTCCACCACCACCAAATTCTTGACAGGTCTCTATGACAACACAATTGATGACAAAAATAAGACACAACCGTGACAGGGACCAGCCTCGTAGCCTGGTGGATAGCGCGCAGGACTCGTAATTCTGTGGCGCGGGGTTCGATTCCCGCACGAGGCAGAAACAAATGGGCAAAGTTTCTTTCACCCTGAATGCCCCTGTTACCTAGCAGTAAATAGGTACCTGGGTGTTAGTCAGCTGTTACGGGCTGCTTCCTGGGGGTGGAGGCCTGGTCGAGGACCGGGCCGCGGGGACACTAAAGCCCCGAAATCATCTCAAGATAACCTCAAGATAACCACTACAGTGCACGTGTTGGGTAAGGGGTCAATTACAGAGCACGGGATGGGTATGGAATCTATTACAGCGCAAGTGATGGGTATGCGGTCCACTACAGTGCACGTAATGGGTATGGGGTGTACTACAGCGCACGTAATGGGTATGCGGTCCACTACAGCGCACGTGATGGGTAAGGGGTCAACTTCAGAGCACGGGTTGGGTATGGGGTCCACTACAGTGCACGTAATGGGAATGCATGGGGTCCACTACAGTGCACGTAATGGGAATGCATGGGGTCCACTACAGTGCACGTGATGGGTATGGGGTCCACTACAGCACATGTGATGGGTATGGGATCCACTACAGTGCATGTGATGGGTATGGGGTTCACTACGATGCACGTGATGGGTATGGGATCCACTACAGCCGACGAGATGGAAATGGGGTCCACTATAACGCACGGGAAGGGTATGGGGTCCACCTCAGCAGACGAGAAGGAAATGGGGTCCACTACAGCGCACGGGATGCGTTTTGGGGTCCACTACAGCTCACGGGATGGGAATCGTGTCCATTACAGCCTACGGGATATGTATGGAGTGTACTTCAGCCGACGGGATGGGTATGGGGTCCATTGCTGCCCACATGATGGAGATGGGGTACACTACAGCTGACAGGATTGGTATGGGGTTACGTACAGCGCATGGGGTGGATATGGGGCCCAATACAGCCGAAGGGATGGGTATGGGTTCTATCTTAGCCGACGGAATGTGTATGGGGTCCACTACAACCTACGGGATGAATTTGGAGTCCACTATAGCCCACATGATTGGTATGGGGTCCACTACAGCCCACATGATGAATATGGGGTCTACTACAGCCCACATTATGGGTATGGGGTACTCTACAGCTCACATGATGGGTATGGGGTCCACTACAATCGACGGGATGGGTATGGGGTCCACTAGAGCTCACGTGATAGGTACGGGGTCCACTACATTCCACTTGATGGGTATGAGGGTAAACTACATCCCCACATAATGTGTATTGTGGTCCGCTGTCACCCTAGAGAATACTATGGGGATGCATAATAAAGTAAATTAATCAATTAAACGCAAAGTTCACGAGAGATGCACCCACGTCATTGAACAAGAAGTCGATTAACATGAGGTCAAACTCTTTCCTTCTCCGGTAGAGATCCTTCACGGCTGGAACGTGATACATTTCCCTGGCGATGGCTGGCAACTCTTTCACTAAATGTGTCAGGTCTTTCCTGACGTCAAACATGTTCATATTCTTCTCCTTGAAGTACGGAAGACCGTGAGTAACCTCGTGGACATTCGGATGTCTGGATGACTTTGGGTGGTTGGTCAACATCACTACCTGCAAAAAAAATATATCTTTCAATAACAAATACACAAAGTCTAATGTGTATGTAGAATTGGTCGTTAAGATTTTTTTGGGAAAAGATTAAGTCTGTTAAAAGGTTAATCGACGTCCCATTACACCAACTACTGGACTTTCCTTGGATTCAACTGAAACAGTTGCCTAACTCTAAGTACTTTTTTACTGGTTATTGAATAAAGGCATCAGCTGGAAGGAAACGTTGCCCAAACGCTACTGCCCTGCTGCAGGAATTGAGTCCAAAACCAATCGGCTGTGATCCGACTGCGTCAAATGTCTCGAACTCTGTTCCATAAACAAGGACTTGCAATCTTGGTACTATGATCAGATTCGTTCATCATAGTAAACATTGCTATATTAAGGAAAACGCTGGTCTCTCGCAGGCATAGTTGAAAAAATCATATGCTGAGGGACTAATCATTCCATATAATCGTTTTCTTCTAAGAGAATCCTTCCTGCCTTTTGACTGACAGAAGAGGCAACTCTTCACACATGCCGTCTTGTTGAATCTGCTCTCATACACCACGTCCAACATGCACCTTATTTCTGGTTGTGTTGCTGACGACTCCCGCCTTCCTCACACCGCACATAAATAAGCAATCCTTCTTGTGAGATTTTTCTATGTACCTCTCTTAGAAGGTTGGCCTCAAACAGAGAGAATTGCTTAAGGACAGCTTATAATTTAGGCAAGAGACTATAGCAAGACAGGAGCAACCGCCACGACTTCAATGATGTTGAAGTCCCTATCTACTGAGTCCTCGGGCTCCTTATATGCCTTAGCACTTGTAAAGGTAACCCACAGGTGGGTTCTAACCCACTTCAATTATTTTTTATGTGTGGCTCTATGAATCAGGTTCGAATCTAGAAGCAGGCCTTCATATAACAATTCACATGAACCATTGTAGTAAAAAATGTGGGAGCATTAATGTTGTAGGGTTGACATAAAGACCATTCTCTAACAATCAACAAGTTTATTAAAACAAAGACTAAATTACTACAACAACGATTTTACGTTACGTTAATGTCTCTTAATGGCACATTAAATACTGCTAATCAGCAACCAAGTATAGCAATGACTCCTGTCAATTGCCGCGAGGCTGAACTGATCTAACTTGAACAATTCAGAGTGCTCACTGACGACGCAACATTTCTATCAATATTATTTACAGTCCTCCTGCAATATAAATCTATAATCACAACTTGCTAAGACAACTCGTGCAGCCCCCTGCACTGAGATTGTAACGACTAAGAGGTTAAATGACAACACAAGTAACCACCTGTCAATTCTACGTTAACACTTGTCACTCAAGACTCAATCAAACAATAGAATAATAATTACACAAATTGATCAACTATGATTAATTATGTTAAGTAACTGTCAACAGCAGGCAGCAGCCATTTGGTTACGTTAACACAAACATGTCTCTCAGACACTCAACTCTCAACACGCTAACTCGCTCGTCCTTAATTACATCACATTTGACCTTTCTAGCATTCAGTGAGTAATTATTAATTACTGTCAACAGGACAGTAATTAAACCACAATGAGTTACGTTAACCCCACTGTCAGTCTCTCGACCGTTTCTCTCAAGTCTATGTATTTATCTCTTAGTGGGAATGTTAATTACAATAATTAACTTGAGGAATTGTATAGCTGCCACATGGATTGTTAATTAATTACTTCACGTATTACGTTACTCTATCGCACTGCCTAAGCAGGCGTCAACAATACACTTGTGAATTCACAAGTTGTTAATTACCCATAATAAACCTATGTGCATAATCAACTGTCCCACAAAGAGATCTAATTAAACCAATGAATTATGCTAGCCCAATTGACTTCGCCCTCTAACAGTCAGTCAAACTCTTGGACGGTAATTATCCCCAGTTAAATTGAGCCACTAATTAGCCATCCCACAGATAATTCATCTTGAGCAAATTACATTAACACAAACTACTGTCGCCCTTCCGGCAGTTCCTCTCCACTGTGTGAATTCAATTATGCAATGCTAATGACACTAATTAGCTAGAGTGATAAATTAGTTGTCCAACGGACAGATAATTGCACCCAACGAATTACGTTAATCTCAAGAATGTCTCAACACGACAGTCCCTCCAGTCAAGCAATGTGTTAACTTTATTGGTGTAATTAATTTACCCACAATTTTCTCTCACTGAATCCTTCATGTGTCCCACAAATAATGGTTACACCCAAGGTCTTGTCGTACTGACAAGTAACCGTACAAGGTACACTCTGCAGCCTCCTCCAATGAGTGTCACACTCCCCACAGTGAGATAAGATATATAATCACCGCCCAAAATCACACAACACACACTTTATTAAGATTTCATAGTTGTGTTACTGTAATATATCTGTGCCAGTGATTACTTTAATAAAGTGTGTGTTGTGTGATTTTGGGCGGTGATTATATATTTCATATTTATATATTTATTATATTTATATATTTAATATTTATATTTATATATTATAATATTTATTATATTTATATATATTATACGATCAGAATAATATCAAAGTCTGCTTTCAGGCAACACTCAGCCCCCTTGTTTAACTCCCTAAATATGCTAAACATAATCTCACTTATTATAGATTGTGTGTTGGTTTTGTTGTCGTCGTTGATCCTTCTCTACGGACAACCCAACCCACAACTCGGTAAAGTGCTTATAATTCACTAGATCACACTAGGCACTTCTGGCTCTTGGAGAGGGGCTCAACGTCACACATTTAGGGGATGCGGCTCCAACACTTAGCCTCGTTGTCACGTGCACACACCCATTCGAGCCGCTGTGACTCCCCACTCTCTCCTTAGGTGATATGATCTCTTCAATCCCCCTTTGACTTATTAGTATTACCTTCTACCCTGTCCATAACAGTGGTTCTTGGCTATTTCTCTCTCTCTCTCTTCCTTTACTATTTCCTGGGAAGCCTCACTAGGACAAGGGCAAACACCAGCAAATTGGAATACATTTACTGGACAAAGCACATACACAATACATACACACATATAATGATAATAATGAATCCTATACGCTCTACTATTACAATCAGGTTGCACTCCAACACCATCAGAACTCTATCGTCAGCTTATCAAGTGGTATCCTATCTTCTGATTCCCCACCTGATACTATCTACCTCTTCAAGTAGATCAAGTCTTATACTACACTGTTGCATTATCAACAAGAGAATATATATATATATATATATATATATATATATATATATATATATATATATATATATATATATATATATATATATATATATATATATATATATATATATATATATATATATATATATATATATATATATATATATATATATATATATATATATATATATATAAACGTGTACAAGGAAAATCAGCATGTGAATGCAATAACATATATCAGTATAAATGTTCCTTGATACACCGCAATGATCAATCGATCACCCCATCAGTCCAAGAACGCATACATCTGTAGGTAATCCAGCCTACGCCTGCAACTCTAAACTTCAGTATAAAACACTCCTTGACATAAGCATGCAAACAATCACTCACCTCTCACTGCGTCATGCACGCTAATGACAACCAAACACTATCAACTCCCTACAAGTAATCCACCAGAACTTCCCTTCCACCTCTGGAAGTTCACTACCCTGCTCTCTTCAGGTTCTTCCGGGTTTAACTACCAGGATCCTCTGCAGCTCCTCCAGGCTGCTACCATGAAGTTTCCTTGAGCAACTACGGTGCTTCACCCTTCTGCTAGGGTCCTCCACAGCTCTCCTGGCTGCTACACCATGAAGTTCCCTCGAGCAACTATGGTGCTTCACCACCTCTACAGAAGCACGTGACACTCCTCTTCACTGCTTCTCCTCACAGCTCGAGGTCCTCTCCTCCACTACCTTGGAGTCTCATCAACTACTTCATCTGTGCTGGCTTCGAAGTTCTCAGCAACTTCTTCCCCAAAGACAAACCTGCAACCCATCGACACTCCAATAAAAATGTTTCCCCTTCAACACATAAACAAAAATAATCACACAATATGTTTGCCTCAAACCTCTATCTGTCCTCTACATACAGTGAGAGTGGACTTCCCCGTTTTGGGCGGGTCCATACTCCATCTCGCCCGGCGGCAGTCCTCACTCGCTGGGAGGGTCTTCCACCGTCAGGAGCCAAGCTCCCTCAGTTACCTGCCAGCGCTCAGAGAGGACGGACATCGCTCCGTGTTCCTCCCTCTCAACTCTCTTATTTTAGGCTTTCTGCCTCACCAAAACATGTCTAACTTATCAATAAACATTGCTACTGTCGCTGGGCACACGACCAACTACAAGCAATCACTATGAACTGGCTTATATCGTGCTTTCCACAGATTGTCTAGTCGAGGGCGCTCCTCCCTCTGACGAAGCTTGATCAGGGCGCTGCCACGGCCCACGATAATGCCTCTGGGCGGTTTAATAAACACTTCTCATCGCCCGGGACTTGAGACCACACGTCCCCAGCTCGATTCCACAGCTGGTACGTCTGCACACTTCTCTTCTCTTCGAGATATATCACTAGGGGTTGCCTTCTGACGGGAGCTCAACGGAGCACGGCTTTCCCCCTGCGATGTCTAGCCTCAAGTGAGGTCAAAGCCCTCCAAAGCGAGCCTCACGCCTCCAGCAAAATGTCCACATTTCCTAGCCAGTCATTTATCTGTTTTCTTCTTCACTGCCCATAATCTTAAATTGTTCATCATATCCAACCAGCTATTTTACATATGTGTTATCACCTCTATATTTCTTAGACCTTCTGGTTAGGTCAGGCTTGATAGAATTATTCTCAAAGGGGAGACTCGTTTTTTGGCTACCTGGGATCATAACACACTCCATAAATTCTCTTGTGTCAACTACATTTACCCTGTTCTTAAATGCAAATCCTGCTCTGAAACTCTTCCTGGACAGATGTAATAGGACCCATTATCACCACACCAGAAATAAATATCTCTTTGATATCCCCAGAGTTAAACATAATCTGTGTAAACACTCTATGCAAATAAAGGGACCCAGTTTATGGAACTCACTCCCTATTGAATTGAAAAGCTGTCCAACTTTTACATCATTCAAAATCAAGTACCTAATTTCATCTTCATAGTTTTTCACCTTTTGCCTTAAAATTGCACTGTATCTATTGCTACCCAATCTCCCAACCTTTATGTTCCCAATTTGAACATTTTTACCATTGTGATCATTGCTGTCTTCTTATATGTGCTGCCAATCTGCTGTATGGTGTTTATTATTGTTTAACATCTTTACCATTGAGATCATTGCTGTCTTCTTATATGTGCTGCCAATCTGCTGTATGGTGTTTATTATTGTTTAACATCTTTACCATTGAGATCATTGCTGTCTTCTTATATGTGCTGCCAATCTGCTGTATTGTGTTTATTATTGTTTAACATCTTTACCATTGTGATCATTGCTGTCTTCTTATATGTGCTGCCAATCTGCTGTATGGTGTTTATTAATCTTGTTTATCTGTATCTATTGCTACCCAGTCTCCCAATCTTTATGCACCCAATCTGAGCATCTTTACCATTGTGATCATTGCTGTCTTATATGTGCTGTCAATCTGCTGTATGGTGTCTATTAATCTTGTTTAAATTACCAATCAAGCTGTCAATGTAATCAATCAGAGCTTTAATATAACAATGTGCTTTAATATACTTACTAAGCTCTCTCATCTCATTTTTCTCTTGCAATGTATTTGTTATCATGTATCAATTCTGATAGAAATTACCTACTTAAAATTATCTGTTAGATTAAGGACCTGCCCGAAACGCTGCGCGTACTAGTGGCTTTACAAGATTGTAAATACTGTACTATTCAATGTATTCTCACAAACTCAATGTACCTTCTTGTATATATATAAATAAATAAATAAATAAATAAATAAATAAATAAATAAATAAGTAAATACACTTGGCTTTTGAATCCAGTTCCTGAGGTTTAACTACACCAAAACAAATACGGTACTTACTCTAACCAGACCTGTCACAACTGATTCACACCTCCAGCATTCATGCCACTAGTATATGTAGCACTGAAGCTGAAGGTCACGACCCTTCACGTCGCCGCATCAGGGATGATAGTAGGAGCGAGTCGGTGTGGCGGGCTGCCACACACTCTCGTTGGATGAATCCCTCATGCACTGTCACGAGCAGGCAGTGCTCGTAGCGTGTGTGGTGTGAAACGAAATTACGACATGGATGATGAAAGTTAATGTTCTGAACGTTGAACCACAATTCCAAGAATTACGATCGGAAAGTTTCCGCAACACTGGAAAGCCTTCCCCAAGTTCGTCTCTATCAGATACCTTTAGACTAAGGCCCCGATGACGACCGACGACAAAACAATTCGCGGATTTAACCAACACAGTCTGATGCCCCTGCTAGGTGTATCATATGCGGTCGATGATTCTCCTGATTAGTTCACTTTCTTCAAACAAATCGAATACCCTTCCCATCGGCTCCGGGTTCTCCTTTAGGAGTACCCGCAAAGATGGTACAATTATTACAAGTGACTTAGGTGTTGTTGCAGACGGTATTTCCGTAGCTTGGCCTAGCCACGAAAAAGATACGTCAAGCTCGAGCAACAAACCAGGCGAGAATAAGCTCTCCCGCTTAAAACTTGAACAACACCAAGCGGATCCCCTCTGTACAAAAATCCACTAATTACAGACAAGCTCCTCAGAGGCCTAGGAGGCTCGAGCAATCACCCCTCTCCTCGAGGTGGCGCGATGCCTCTGACGACACTGAAATGAGGGACTTGGGGGGGGGGTGAGGTGCAGCCAGCCGTTAGCCGGGCCGCCCCTTCCACACTCTTCCCTCTTCCACCTGCTTCACCAAATTCTAATGGAATGGTCATGACTTAGGCTGTCCAGAGACACAATCAAGCTGGTGTTGGTCAAGTCCTTCTAGATGAGATGGCTGGTGCACAGCTTCTGTGCACAGGCTCTTTCCTGCTAGAGCACACACACACACACAATAGTGCACAAACTAGCTGGAGAAATCCATCTCCGGACACTTCTTAACAAAGGTGATCCGACTTTTCCTTAACTCCCTCACCACTCTGTTTCTTGTCTTGTATGTAGTCATCCCTTTGTCTGGATTTGACCTCATTCTCGACGTTTTTTGGCCTTCTGCAGTTTTCTTTATTTCCTGTCTTCAATGCTATTCCTTCACCTCTTATTTATCCTCATTTTTATCTTATTATTATACGTATATCTTTTTCATACTTCTTCCTTATTTCTATACTTCTTTCTGATTCTATACTTTATGTTTTTCCCTTACTAAACCCTTTCCTACATTTCAACCCTATTGCTGTACTTTGTCTTATTCTCATTTCAACCCTTTCCAACACCTATTCTTTTACTTCTTTCTTTAAGCCTTTTTCTTTGACCTACTCGCCTATTACCTCTCTCTTCTGCCTTATAAGTTGACTTGCTCTACCTCTTTGAACGTCGCAGATTCTTTAATAATATATTGTGGGGGTTTGTAGGTCGTGTCTGTTTTCCAGCCATGTTACTCTCATCATTCAATCTTTGCATATATTTAAAGTGGCGGAGAGAGGACCACGAACAGCTGCGTTATAACTAGTCTAAGCATATTATATCTAGAGTTCTTCTAGAAGTCCTTCTAGAAGAGATGCCCGTTGCACAGCTTTTGTCTTTTCGCCTTTTGCCTTTTCTGCCTTTAATTGCAGTCATAATTCTTTTGAAACAAATCTTAGTTTTTCCAGGCGAAGTTATCGCCAAGAGAAGCAAAAATATCGCATTGAATCAACTAGGATATCAATGTCTGGATGATATTACAGAAATAATTGATAATTATTCTAAATCGGATGAGATCATATATTTTTTAGTTACTCGTTAAGGATCACTTAGTGTCTTACCTCGTGACCACGGTCGGCCAGAGCCTCAGCGAGAGGCATGAAGACGTTCCTGTGGCTCTTGGTTGTGACAGGGAGGAGCATGAGGATCTTGTAGGACCTCTCAGGAGCCGCCAACTCTCCCGCGGCGACTCCCGCCACAGCCGCCACCAACACACACAACGGCGCCAACTTCATCTGACGAAAGCGAAGCGCGCATCCACTTGAGTTTTCTGCTAACATAAACTATCATCTGAGGGTGAAGATATATATATATATATATATATATATATATATATATATATATATATATATATATATATATATATATATATATATATATATATATATATATATATATGTCGTACCTAGTAGCCAGAACTCACTTTTTGGCCTACTATTCAAGGCCCGATTTGCCTAATAAGCCAAGTTTTCCTGAATTAATATATTTTTTCTAAATTTTTTCTTATGAAATGATAAAGCTACCCATTTCATTATGTATGAGGTCAATTTTTTTTTATTGGAGTTAAAATTAACGTAGATATATGACCGAACCTAACCAACCCTACCTAACCTAACCTAACCTATCTTTATAGGTTAGGTTTGGTTAGGTAGCCGAAAAAGTTAGGTTAGGTTAGGTTAGGTAGGTTAGGTAGTCGAAAAACAATTAATTCATGAAAACTTGGCTTATTAGGCAAATCGGTACGACATATATATATATATATATATATATATATATATATATATATATATATATATATATGTCGTACCTAGTAGCCAGAACTCACTTCTCAGCCTACTATTCAAGGCCCGATTTGCCTAATAAGCCAAGTTTTCCTGAATTAATATATTTACTATAATTTTTTCTTATGAAATGATAAAGCAACCCTTTTCTCTATGTATGAGGTCAATTTTTTTTATTGGAGTTAAAATTAACGTAGATATATGACCGAACCTAACCAACCCTACCTAACCTAACCTAACCTATATTTATAGGTAAGGTTAGGTTAGGTAGCCAAAAAAAGCTAAGTTAGGTTAGGTTAGGTAGGTTAGGTAGACGAAAAAACATTAATTCATGAAAACTTGGCTTATTAGGCAAATCGGGCCTTGAATAGTAGGCTGAGAAGTGTGTTCTGGCTATTAGGTACGACATATATATATATATATATATATATATATATATATATGTCGTACCTAGTAGCCAGAACGCACTTCTCAGCCTACTATGCAAGGCCCGATTTGCCTAATAAGCCAAGTTTTCATGAATTAATTGTTTTTCGACTACCTAACCTACCTAACCTAACCTAACGTAACTTTTTTGGCTACCTAACCTAACCTAACCTATAAAGATATGTTAGGTTAGGTTAGGTAGGGTTGGTTAGGTTCGGTCATATATCTATGTTAATTTAAACTCCAATAAAAAAAAATTGACCTCATACATGAAGAAATGGGTAGCTTTATCATTTCATAAGAAAAAATTTGAGAAAATATATTAATTCAGAAAAACTTGGCTTATTAGGCAAATCGGGCCTTGCATAGTAGGCTGACAAGTGAGTTCTTGTTACTAGGTACGACATATATATATATATATATATATATATATATATATATATATGTATATATATATATATGTTGTACCTAGTAGCCGACGAGAACGTCGTACTCGGCCTACTAAACAAGGCCCGATTTGCCTAATAAGCCAAGTTTTCCTGAATTATTATATTTTCTCTATTTTTTTTCTTATGAAATGATAAAGCTACCCATTTCACTATGTATGAGGTGAATTTTTTTTTATTGGGGTTAAAATTAACGTAGATATATGACCGAACCTAACCAACCCTACCTAACCTATGTTTATAGGTTAGGTTAGCTTAGGTAGCCAAAAAAGTTAGGTTAGGTTAGGTTAGGTAGGTTAGGTAGTCGAAAAACAAATAATTCATGAAAACTTGGCTTATTAGGCAAATCGGTCCTTGCATAGTAGGCTGAGAAGTGCGTTCTGGCTACTAGGTACGACATTATATATATATATTTTTTTTTTTTTGAGATATATACAAGAGTTGTTACATTCTTGTACAGCCACTAGTACGCGTAGCGTTTCGGGCAAGTCCTTAATCCTATGGTCCCTAGAATACGATCCCCTGCCGCAAAGAATCGTTTTTTCATCCAAGTACACATTTTACTGTTGCGTTAAACAGAGGCTACAGTTAACGAATTGCGCCCAGTAAATCCTCCCCGGCCAGGATACGAACCCATGACATAGCGCTCGCGGAACGCCAGGCGAGTGTCTTACCACTACACCACGGAGACTGCGTGGTACGCAGATATATATATATATATATATATATATATATATATATATATATATATATATATATATATATATATATATATATATATATATATATATATATATATATATATATATATATATATATATATATATATATATATATATATATATATATATATATATATATATATATATATATATATATATATATATATATATATATATATGTATATATGTCGTACCTAATAGCCAGAACGCACTTCTCAGCCTACTATTCAACGCCCGATTTGCCTAATAAGCCAAGTTTTCATGAATTAATGTTTTTTCGTCTACCTAACCTACCTAACCTAACCTAACCTAGCTTTTTTTGGCTACCTAACCTAACCTTACCTATAAATATAGGTTAGGTTAGGTTAGGTAGGGTTGGTTAGGTTCGGTCATATATCTACGTTAATTTTAACTCCAATAAAAAAAAATTGACCTCATACATAGAGAAAAGGGTTGCTTTATTATTTCATAAGAAAAAAATTATAGTAAATATATTAATTCAGGAAAACTTGGCTTATTAGGCAAATCGGGCCTTGAATAGTAGGCTGAGAAGTGAGTTCTGGCTACTAGGTACGACATATATATATATATATATATATATATGTCGTACCTAGTAGCCAGAACTCACTTCTCAGCCTACTATTCAAGGCCCGATTTGCCTAATAAGCCAAGTTTTCCTGAATTAATATATTTACTATAATTTTTTTCTTATGAAATGATAAAGCAACCCTTTTCTCTATGTATGAGGTCAATTTTTTTTTATTGGAGTTAAAATTAACGTAGATATATGACCGAACCTAACCAACCCTACCTAACCTAACCTAACCTATATTTATAGGTAAGGTTAGGTTAGGTAGCCAAAAAAAGCTAGGTTAGGTTAGGTTAGGTTGGTTAGGTAGACGAAAAAACATTAATTCATGAAAACTAGGCTTATTAGGCAAATCGCGCCTTGAATAGTAGGCTGAGAAGTGCGTTCTGGCTATTAGGTACGACATATATATATATATATATATATATATATGTCGTACCTAGTAGCCAGAACTCACTTCTCAGCCTACTATTCAAGGCCCGATTTGCCTAATAAGCCCGGTTTTCCTGAATTAATATATTTACTATAATTTTTTTCTTATGAAATGATAAAGCAACCCTTTTCTCTATGTATGAGGTCAATTTTTTTTTATTGGAGTTAAAATTAACGTAGATATGTGCCCGAACCTAACCAACCCTACCTAACCTAACCTAACCTATATTTATAGGTAAGGTTAGGTTAGGTAGCCAAAAAAAGCTAGGTTAGGTTAGGTTAGGTAGGTTAGGTAGACGAAAAAACATTAATTCATGAAAACTTGGCTTATTAGGCAAATCGGGCCTTGAATAGTAGGCTGAGAAGTGCGTTCTGGCTATTAGGTACGACATATATATATATATATATATATATATATATATATATATGTCGTACCTAGTAGCCAGAACGCACTTCTCAGCCTACTATGCAAGGCCCGATTTGCCTAATAAGCCTAGTTTTCATGAATTAATTGTTTTTCGACTACCTAACCTACCTAACCTAACCTAACCTAACTTTTTCGGCTACCTTACCTAACCTAACCTATAAAGATAGGTTAGGTTAGGTTAGGTAGGGTTGGTTAGGTTCTGTCATATATCTACGTTAATTTTAACTCCAAAAAAAATTGACTTCATACATAATGAAATGGGTAGCTTTATCATTTCATCAGAAAAAAATTAGAGAAAATATATTTATTCAGTAAAACTTGGCTTATTAGGCAAATCAGGCCTTGCATAATAGGCTGAGAAGTGCATTCTGCTACTAGGTACGACATATATATATATATATATATATATATATATATATATATGACAATGTCAGACAACAAAGGAAGGATTAAGACAGGAATTTCCTTAATTCCGGTCTTAATCCTTCCTTCGTAGTCAGACATTGTTACATTGTTCATCACGTGTTAATTTCTTTGTGATTTACATGCATATATTTATGTATAAATATACTAAGGGCGTACCTGGCGTTCATCGGGTCTGTCAATCTACTCATGTGTTCATTTATCCACCTATCTATTTATGGAAACAAAAAACCATACACCCATATATTTCTCCAACTTTCCATTCATACATCTACATTCATCTTTCCATCAATCTATCTATCAAACCAACTTTCTATCCGTCTGTTTATCATTTATATACTCATCTGTCAACCCATCTACTCCCCTGTCCACCTATCCACACATCTATGCATATATCCATCCTTTTAACCGTCCAACTTTCTATCCATCCAACTATCTATCCATCCACCTATTCATCTAATTATCATATATATACTTATCTATCCATCCATCTACTCACCTATCCATCAATCTACTCATCTAATCTTCCATATATCCAACTGAACAATAAGGCAGCCACTGTACTTTTAGGCGGCCACGAAACTATGAGGCAGCCACTCTACTATGAGGCAGCCACTCTACTATGAGGCAGCCACTCTACTATGAGGCAGCCACTCTACTTTGAGGCAGTCACTGTACTTTGAGGGAGCCAATCTACCATGAGGCAGCCTCTGTACTATGAGGCAGCCTCTATACTATGAGGCAGCCATTGTACTATGAGGCCTGCATCCACTGTTCAATGTGACAGCTAATGTATTATGAGGGAGTAAAGGTATTAGTATTATGAGGCAGTAAAGGTATTATGAGGTCGCCACAGTACTATGAGGCAGCCACTGTACTATAAGGGAGTCACTGTATTATAAGGCAGCCTCTGCACAATGTGGCAGCCGGAGTACTATGAGGCAGCCCCAATACTATGAGGCAGCCACTGTTCTATTATTCGGCCGCTG